AGCGCCGGGGCAGCGGGGGTGGCCGGGCCTTACCGCAGCGGTGGAGGTGCTCGGGCCTGGCTGTGCTCTCCAGCAGCGCCTCCATCTTCACCTCCTGCAAGGGGAGAGGTGGCAGCCCCTCGGCCTGGCAGCTCTTGCTGGCCACCCGGCACCACGGGCTCCTACCTTGGGCAGGCGCGGGAGGTAGGTGGTGTATTTATTTTCCAGGCCGCTGTTATAAGGGGACGTTCGCCACGTGACGTACCTGTCCTCATTGACAAAAACCGGGTTGTACCTCTCTGCAAGGCAAAGGGCACAGGCAGGACATGCTGCGGGACCGTGGGATGCAACGGCCTCGCCAGAGCATCCAACTTCCCCAGTGCCTGCGCTGGGGACTCTTAACGGTCTCCAAGCTGCAGTAGAGGTGATGCCACCAACATCCCCTTGTTGCTGTCCAAGGGGCTGCAAGGAAGGTCTTCGCCAGCACCATCCAGCACCCCGGCTCTGTTGTTGCTCTTTAGGGGCCACCAATGTAGAGGGAGCCCAAGGGAACTGGCGGTGACCTCGGGAAGGGGATGGGGACATGCGTGGGGCCCCTCGGCCCAACCTTCCTGCCGGGTCACCCAGTACTTCTCGGGCAGGTAGGCGCTGGGCTCCACGGCGTTCCTGTAGGCGAACTCCTGTGCCGCGGCCTTCAGCAGCTTCTCCTGCTGGTCTGGGCTCGTGGGGCTCGGCACTGGCGGAATCGCTAATCCCTAGAGGCAGTAGAGAGTGGAAGGGAGAGCTGAGCGCACGGCAGCACTGCCTTTGCGGCCATCCCAGCAAAGCTGATTACAGGCCTGGGTCTGACCCAGGGCCGCCCTTCTCTGCGCCTGGGTCACTGCTGCAGCAGCACCATTTACACTCCAAACCTTCCCATTCACCCCCAGATGGTCAGGGCATCACCAGCTGCTCACCCACAGCATCCACCAGGCCTGCAGGCACCTGCAGAGCAGGGCTGCCCCTTGAGGGGGTTGGATGGGAGGGACACATCCCTAGGGCAGGAATGGGTGACCAGGCTCAGGACTGGGCGTAGGACTAGTTGGGGTGACGTTAAGCACCTTGTCCCCCACAGCGTTTGGGAAAGGCCCGTTTCTCATGCTTTATTTCCCTTTCCCATGGGGATATGCACTCTCAGTGCCCTGAAACCTACTGATGGACGGTGCCAACATGCAAGAGCTCGTGGTGGCAACCACCTGCTCCACGAGCCCCAAGTGACGCCACTCTACTGCTGCAGGTGCAGGTGGAGGAGACCCCAAACCCAGAGGGAAGAAAGATACAGGAGCATCAAAGTGCTGTGGAAGCTGAAATTAGGCATGACCAGGAGAGAGTGCAGGAGCCATGAACACCACGTGGCCCCACATGGAAACTCCTGGGGCTGTAGCCTTGGATGGAGGTGCTGCCTCCTCACAGGCATCCACCCACCTTGGTCACAAACTTGTTCTCCTTCCAGAGCCGTGCCGAGGGCTCTTGGAAAATCTTCTTCACGGAGTTGGGTGGCCGGTAGGAGTCTGTGTAGGTGCTCACGGGGGTCTTGGTCTCTTGGGCGAAGAGGAACATGGTGCCGCGGGCCGCTGGGGAAGGATGCAGGGGGGGAATCCTTGCGGGTACCTCAGGTTCTGTGAAAGCCACATGGGGCTGGGAGCCATGGGGAGGGGGTGACGTCACCGGTGACATCATAGTGTGAGGAACTGGGGGATTTGGTGCCTTCTTGTCCTGCTGCTTCCATGGGGCTGCCTCGTGTTCTGGGCACGGACAGTCTGGCCGGCAGGAGCAGCCTTGCACCCAAATATTGGGCTTGGAACTAAAGTTGCACCGTGCTGCTAGAGGGACGCCCAGGGGTCTTAGGGATTCCCAGGTTAGTTGGAGACACCATCTCTTGTCAGTTGTGAGAATTTATTGAAGCTAAGAGGTTGTAGCAAAGCTAACAGTATAGAATAGCTGGAAATGTAACAGAACTGAAAACATCCTGGGTGGTGGAGCTCCTTGGTCAGGACTTGTCCATCGTGCGGTTGGTGGACAGTGTGGCCCTGGGCACTGGGGGTCTGGTGAGCAAACCCCTCTTCCATGCGCTGCACTGTCCCCAGGCCCACGCTTGCAAGAGGCAGGGGACAGACGCGGGCAGGGACCACCCCCCAGGTCTGCTGTTCTGGACGGGGTCCCCATTACGCTGCTCTCTCAGAGACCTCTTCTGCTCCTGGGCTCTGGCCCCGTAAAACTGCTGCCAGGCTCCCTGGGGACGGGCTGGACAGCCGGGACAGCAGAGCAGCCAGATGTGACTAATGCACCATTAAAGAAGAAACGAAGGAAAGAAACCGCTATTGATCTTCACACCCTGCAGGCCTCTCGCAAGCCCGCTCCGCTCAGCGTCAGCCCGATACCCTCCCGGAGGCCCTTCCCAGCTGGCAGTGTCCCCGGCAGCGTGGCAGCAGCACCGTGGGGCGCAGGAGGAGGAGAACGGGTTATTTTACCTGTTGGCATTGCGGAGATCACACAGTCTCTTGCTGCCTCTCTTACTCTTTGGAGGAAAGATGCTGCCCAGGGGCCAGGGCCGATTCCAACCCCATGTGTGTTCCCACTGCCACAGGGAGGAGTTGTTCCCAGACGCCGGGTTAGTCACGGCAGTTTTAATCATGCCACATGGACCAGCTCCACACCAGCTGCTTTTACTAGGCTCAGATAGGCTGTTTTTGAGCATTGCATGAAGAGTGGCCAGTCCAAGCCCCATTTCTTCACCACATGAGAGCCCCCTCCCACCTTTAGCAAATGTAACCGGCCATTTCAATTCCCAAACCTTGTGCTTAAGCATCTCCCTGGGTTCTGCTCCAGCTCTTTGCTCTGCCAGGGAGTCTCCCAGTGTGGGAAGAGGCAAAGCAGCGCCCGATCCGCAGCCCTCTCCGGCCCTTCTCCCACTCCCTGATTTCAGCATCGGCGACGAGCTGCAGTTCGTCCCCCCTCGTCCCTCCTTTCAGCCCGCTCCAGTGACACAGGCTGGCAGGACGTGTTTCATATGTATGCTTTTTAATATCATTAGTTCTGTTACACTACACACAACCAGTAACAATGATAAATACTGCAATGGAAATGTTAAAAAATATTATACATGTTTCATGTTTTTTTTTCAAAAAAACACATTTTTTTAAATAAATTAATGCATAAAACTGATGGTAGAAAAGAAAAAAAATCAAAAACCAAATAACCCAAAACAAACCACAACACAACTGATCTGTTTAAGGCAATACTCTACGCAGACAGGAACTGAAGTACAACAGTGTGCTACATGTTCTGAATGGGAAAGAAAAATTAAAACCTTTACCAGATGCAAATTGATGCTTCAGGAGTGAGAGAAAACCCACCCCAAAACCAGATAATAAAACCAATGGCCAAGTTAAGTGCGGCATTAATACACTCTGCATGTCAAATGATTAGCAGGTTCCTAACATGGACTAAGGTCAAGCTACAACAAATTTATCTTCCTAATTAAAAGGTTATTCAGGTCAAATCCTATGTTTAAACTCTACTTTGCATTTGGCTGTTTCAGCTATGTTTCACTATATGCAAGGACAATTGGAAATACTTCTCCAGCTCTGAGATTTACGCAAAGGTTGGGAGGTCTCTCCGCCTGAAAGACATTTTCATTAAACATATCCCAAAAGGATCTCGCTCCCAGCGACCCACAAATGCCTCCTGCCATCCCCTCCCCTGGGGCATCACATACCGCATGGTGAAAGGAGACATTGGAAACATTTACTTGGGTTTTGTTTTCTTCAAGCTGAGGACCCAAAGTGGAAGTTCAAGTTTGATCCGGACCTGTCTGCCCGTATCTGTGAACTAGTGCCAGCGACACAGTGGAAAGCACAGCCAGCTCTCTGCAGTAAGGGAGAAACCCCAAGGGCATCCAGCGCCTGGACACAGCCCTGGCATTAGCTATGAAAGTCAGTGTGAAGCTCCGTGCCCACCCGGACAGCCAGTCAACCCCAAGTATTAGTGCAGCCCTTAACTTGGCCACTGGGAGGGGGACAATGACTGTAATGCTAAAAACACCCTCCTCTCCCTGCAACAAGAACAGGGATGGCAGCCGCTTCCTGCCGGTTTCCCCGTAGGGCTCCCATGGGCTGCTGTGTGGACAAGAGGGACACTGCCAGGTCCCCCAGGAAGGTGCCTGCCTGCACGGTGCTTCCAGGGGGCAAAGAAGCCTCTTGCAACACAGAAGCTGTCAGTACGGCCCTGCTAGAGCACTCATGGAAGAGGCTGTGGAAAGAAGTCAAGTGAAGTTACTATAAATTATGACTTGCAATGGCCAACAGTTGTCTGGGCTGGCTGGGGTTGGGATGGGAGAGGGGGCCGTGGAACTGGGCTGAGAGCCGTTTTGGTACAGCTGCCTCTGCTGCTCATTATCAGTTCACAGGGAAAAAAAAGAGAAAAGACAATGGCTGCTTTGAGAAAAAAAAGGAGTGAAAGGAGGACGTGTGCAATATAACAAGGCTTGCGATTCTAGAACTAACCACTGGACACGGATACCGAAGTTTACCTGTGACAACTAGTTATATTTTTATTGTTGCTGCTGCTGCTCCCTCCCTTTTTTGACTGACTCTTCTTTTGGTTCTGCTTGGAAAGCTGTAGCTGTTGGGCACGATGGTCCACGCTGACTCCCACCCCAGTCCCGCACAGCACACAAGCTGTGACTCATCTGCAGGATGCAAAATGAGGCCTGGAAGCAGCGTGTTAGACACAGACTGTCGCTGCATGCAAGTGGCACCTGCTTTCAGAACCCTTCAGAAAGGGTGATTCATTTCCTTCTTTATTAAATTGAAGGTTCACTAACCCCAGTGGAAGGAGTAAAATTGACTAAAAATGTGCAAAAAAGGAAAAAAAATAATTTCTTAATTTTCTCCTCTGCAAAGACTTAATCCTTGGTACGAGTGTCTGTCTGTCTGCAGAACTACAGCCCTGGCAATGCTTCTGCTTGCTTTACAGCATGCTGCCCTGTTCAGCAAGGAGGTAGCTGAGAGACCTCCCACCCCACCTCTGCCGCAGGTCTCGGAGCCGTGAAGGCAGCAGCAGGAGCAGAGGGACAGGCCCTGGATCCCTGAGCACGGATCTGGACACAGCCCTCCTGCAGCGCTGACCCTGGAGGGGGAAGCTGGCCTGCTCTTACACTAATCCGGCTGACCTCAAAGCACACAGCCCTTCCCAGCACCCTTGGGCTACTCAGGTGTCTGAAGAGAAGGACCACAGGTCTGCTCTGCAGCTGCCCCATCGTCACGCGTGTTGGATCTCTTGCTGCTCTCATGTTTGCCTTTGATTCCTCTCTGGACAGAGGCAGCTGCAAGCTGGACACACCTGCTACCCCTGGCAGCTCTTCCACGCATGAAACTGAGCAAAGAAATCTATGAGCTGCGGAAGAAGAACAAGGTGATAGAAACCAGAAGGGCTGTTGTGAAGACAGCTCGCCCGATTTCTCCAGCTTTCACTGTGGGTCTTTATTGCATCTCTCATCAGATTTTATGCCTCCCAAATCATGTGGGTTTGAGAGGAGGGAGAACAAATGGAGTCCCAGCTTTTTTGGAAGCCGCCCAACCAGGACGGCAGAGGGTGGTGACCATGGAGAGCCGGATTTCTGGGTGAATTCATTCATGACAACTCAATGGGCAACTAGGGATGAAATGCTGCCCCAGGGTGCAACCATCTCTGCGGGTATTGGGACTTAACTCAGCATGACTGATTTTGTGACCTTTTCTTTTCTTGGTACCTGCTGTGCTGGCATCCAGGTAGGAGTTTGAGGCAGTCACGTGTCAATGGGGCCTTCTCTGTAGCTTCCCCTCCCCAGTGTAACCCCACTGCCTATATCACAACCTGCTGCTATGGAAATGGCTGCTTCCCGGACCAGGCACAGTCAGCAAGACATGCTCCTAGCAATGGCAAAGACAGCTTTTGCTGAGGCAGCTTTATTTTTGAGGAAAAGAAGGACTCGGACCCCTCACTAGTTTCTGCTGGCAGTTGGATGTGGGAAGCAGTGGGAAGAACTGCTCTCTGTGGCTGCAGGGAAAAGCTGCAAGCTTTGCAGAATGTGGATGCCTGCTCCTGTGAGAATCCTGCACCCTACCAGCCTGGCATCAATCTCTTATGGCTTCAACCCAGGTCATAACCGTTCCTTCATCCTAAGTTGCTGGGCCTTCTGCTTCAGGGTGTGCGTGTGGCTCTGTAACACAGGCAGGTTTCTCTGATGAGATGCGGCTCAAATTTGGGAGCAAACTCTTGCCCAGGAAAGCCTTGAAAGCAAGTGGCAGGGGAGCCCCCACCAGGGGAAGGACTTCTGTGTCTGCAACTCTTCAGATGTTTCTGAGGAGACATGAGCAGTTGAAAGGAAGGGTGCTCTGAAGCGTCAGCTCTGCAGGGCGATCAAGGTCAAAACCAGGGTAAATTCACAAGCAGCGTTTAGATGGCAAAGCTGATCTCCTAGGGAAGAGTGGCCATGCCCCAAGTGCACTTCCAGGAAGAACAGAAAGTGAAAGAACAGCCTGGAGAAAATTGCTTGTTTACACTACCAAATCACTACA